GTCTGCGCGCCTACTTTCGTCGTTGGGGGCGAACCCTGCGAGCGGGGGGGGATGGGGAAAGGGAAAGGGGAAGCCCCTCTGCGCTTCGCGAAGGCCAACCCCACGCCGACGGGATCGGGGCGCCCGCGAAGGCGGCAAACGACGCATCGCACGGGACCCGTTCGGTGGTGTTGATTGACTCCGATGGGGAATCGGCGGGCGCCTCTCGGGGACGAGAAGGTTCGACCGATTTGCTTCGCCACGCGAGTTCGATTCCGACGCGGGAACCTTCCACGACGGGTTCGACCGTCTCGAGCAGCGGGGACGATGAGGTGGGGGAGGAAATGGTGCTCTCGCCGTTACGAGGTCGACTCGTCTTGCGTGCAACGCGTCCTCGTGCGGGGGGTTTCCTTTCCACCAATCGTTCCACCGTGGAGGAAGGGCCGCGAACGAAATCCGGCGTCCTCGCGGAGGCGGCAACGAAAAAGGAGAACGAACCGTGCATGAGCCCGATTAAACAGCTTCTCCTTCGTCTCCGGAGCGAAGGCAGGGTGGGGGAGGGAAGGGGGGCGGAGGAAACCACGCGGCTGCGGCTGCTCAGCCCCCTCAACGAGGCCGCCGCGGCGGAACCGACGACGCGGGAGGCCGACCCCAACGCGTCGTTTCGCCACCCCGCCGCGGAACCCCTCACGGGCGGGGGAAATCGCGATTCCAAGCTCGGGATTTCCGCGACGCGCGCGTCCTCCGCGTCGGGGGGGCTCTTTCCGAGCGGGATTCCGCGGATTTGGATTCAACCCCCGGTCCTGCCGGTCTTCCTGTTCGACGCGCGAAGTCCGAGCCCGGAGGTGACGACGTACGAGGCCCCTTCTGTACGCCATCCCTCCTGCCGTGGAGTGCTCTCCGGGCGAGGGGATTCGCCGCGGTACGTGTATTACTACGACACGGAGGTCGATGAAACGGGAAAGGAACCCACGGGAAACGACGATCCCCTCGCGTCCTCGTCATCGGGAAGTCTTAAAGAAACGGCATCGCCACGGGATCCGAAATCGCGTCGGACGCGGAGCCCTCCTCGCGCAAGTGGGCATCGCGGCCCTGGAGAGGAGGGGCAATCCAACCTCGTCCTCCGATCCGATGCAGAGCTCCACAAACAGGAGGAAAGGGAGGTGGAGACGTTCTGGATCGACGAAACGGAAACCCACCGACGCAGAAAAAATAAAGCCATAGGCTTTACGCGACGAGGGCGTCCTCGTAAACGCAGGTAAACCCTCCCGAGGGATTCGAAAGAAGCGCTACAAAAACGCGATAACAGACGGGATAAATTTTTAAAACAAAAGGGGGAGAAGAAATCATAATAATCCTCGCAACACTACGGGAAGAAAATCCTGTTTCTAGACAACCATATTTCCCCTTTTCTTTTGGATTGCTTCCCTTTTCCTGTTAACGTCATTCACACCTAACGTTGAATCCTAAACGATAACCTTCTCTGATAGATTGCAGGGGAGAGAGTTGTTAGTGGTGGAGTGTTGATGTCGTTCTTTTTTTGATAATTCTCTCCTCCCTCTTTACGGAAACTAACTAACTACAAAATAGAAAACGTTCTTCGAAGCCACTAGATTCAAAATTTTTAAAAACACCAAAAAAAATATATAGTGAAAATAAAAAGATTCAAAGCATATTTTAGGTGTCCAACCCGCGTACGCCACCTATTTATCGACTTCTTTATTGATCTATCAATAAACATCGAGCTATTGAACGATCGAGAGATATTCCCATTGAGAGGGAGATAGCAAATCGGTTGTTTTTTCTTCTTCTTTAACCTTCTCAACCTCCACCGATGCCACCGAAACGCGCAGCGACGGTGAACGCCCTCCGTGCGGCCTTCCCGGAGGAGCTCAGCCTCGCCGCGGTCGAGCGATGGGCGGGGGAGACCCCGGAGGAGTTGAAATCCCTCCTCGAGGAGCTCCGCCGCGCGCGGGAGGGGGTTTCTCGACGGCCGTACGTCAACCCCGCCGCCGCGGAGGATTCCCCGCGTGAGCTGCTTTCGCTCTTCCAACGGTATGGCGCCCTCGCGGAAGGGATTTTCCTCGCCGCCGAGCGGATCCGCGGCGTCGTGGAGCTTCGCATCCCGGAGCTCAAAGAGGAGGATAACCTCGGCGTGGCGGTGCAGAACGCGGTGCTGCGGCGGCTGGATGCCGTGCAGAATTACCTCCTCGCTGGAAATGGCGGGGAGAAGGAAGGAGTGCGGCCGATGGCGGGGATGTTCGTCGCGAAGGAATACCTCGCCGCGCGCGCGGGAATCGAGGAAAAAATCCTCCCCAAACCCGCCAAACCCGACGGTGGGGAGAAGGGAAAAGAGGAGGGAAAGGAAGGGGAAGCCTCTTCGGGGACGAAGGCGCCCTCGGCGATTTTGGAGCTCCAGCAGCTCGACTACGATGCGCTTTTGAAACTGGAGCTGACGATCGAGCACCTCCTCACGCTGCTCCTCGCCTTTGTGAATACGTACATGCTGAACTGGAAGAAGCTCATCCAGCCCCGATCGAACACCGATACGATGGTAAGTTAATGTGAAAAAAAGGGGGGAGAAAGGTAGAAAAAAGCACTTTGCGAGAGCTGGATTCGTGTTCTCTGACGACACTTCTTTATTGATTTTGGTTCAGTTTCTAAATATGCACGTGCTACGGAGCAATCGATTTCAGTTAACTATTCCGGTGCCTCTTCGCAGAAAAATTTGTTGAGTTTTTTTATTTATTCAATAATTTATTGTATTAGTACTGGTATTCCACTCATGTACTTCGATTTTATTCAATATTTTCCCCTTTTTACTAGTGGTAATCACACTAGCAAAGGGTCGAGAAGCGGGAAAAAGGATGGGAGAGGGGATTTGATAACTAGAAAAGCTCTCATAGCGGCGAAGTGCGTCATTCCTCTAGTCCATTTCTTTTCTCGCTTCTTGATGAACAATTTTTAAGTGTGTGCTATATTTATATGTAACTTAACGGAGAAGGCTTTCATAGACGGTAATTGCTTAAACCACCAACGCGCACTGAAATGATGCTACCTTTCCTTAACACCCGTCTTGCTTCTCCCCTTTCCAACGTGCGTGCGTGGGCGGCGATCGACTCCGTTTCTCCTCGCCAAAGCTCGTGTGAAGAAGAACAAACAAGCAACCAACAACAACAACACAAACCCACACACACACACACACACATATATATATATACACACCTCAAGAAAAAAATAATAATAATAATTAAATTACGCTTCTCCTGGGACAAACTACCCAAACACACATCGCACGAAAAGAAAGAAAAGAAAAAAAAAAAAAAGAAGAACCACCGCAGGGATCCGCGATGCCGACGGCCGGAGTGCGGGAGTGCTACCTCCCCGCGGCGTCGCTTCCCCGGACCGCCGCGGCGTCGTCGTCGTCGTCCTCGTCCGTCTCCTACACCCCCACGCGGGAGGAGTGTGGGCGGTTGGCCGATCCGATCGCGCGCTTCCTCGCGCAGCACCGCTGCTACGACCTCCTGAGCATCTCCACCCAGGTCGTCGTCGTCGACGTCCGCGCGACGCTGTCGGTCGCGTTCATCGCCGCCCAGGAGACGCGGCTGCAGAGTTGCGTCTTGTGGGACCCCCGGCCCCGCGCGCTCGTGGATGTCCTCACCTCGGTCGACTACATCACCGCGTTGCTCTTCTGCGGCTGCGAGGCCGACGCCCGCGGGGAGGGCGAGGGCGAGGGCGCCTGCGACGTCTCCGTCTGGACGATCGCGCGGTGGTTGGCCGTGCGG